ATTGAGCAATTTTGACTTAATAGAAAGTTTAATTTAGCCAAATATTTATAATTCTGATTCTTGCTTTAACAATTCTAACATGGCATTTTTAAACTACTTTGTCATTTTATTTAATGACGTAGCATTATCGCGTACTTTAATTTTTTCAAAATTTTAATTTATAGATAATTAAAATAAAAAAATGATGATTTTGTTAATTTAATACAAAGTGATTTCAATATTTAAAAATGGTTGTCTCAAGTCAGTCGGTCAACCGGTCAGTCAGAAGCATTTGACTGACCGATATTGGTCATGGCTATAACCGTGACTATTAGCATCCCTACTTGAAACATTACATTGTTCAATCCACCACTAAAACGGACAACGATTAGTATCTCTCTGAAAATAAATGCAGTGAAATCAGAATGATGAACTTTCATCTTTTTGTGAAGAATGATCATATAAATCCTGTCTCGTTCTTAAATATGCATCACGCATTATTTTTTTGTTATAATCAGTATTCACATTACTTGCATATTTATCATTAAGTTGAGTAATTATTCAAAGATTATTATAGTAAGTGAACAGGACTTCAACATGAGGAAAAAAAAAAAGAAAAAAAGTTTGAATTTAATTACCTCCTGATTAGACTCAGATAATGAAGCGGTCGCGCTATTGGCGACTTTAAACTGTGTATTATGTATTCAAAAAAGTAGTCAGTTAAAAAGGATTTATTAGCTAAAAGATAAGTTATATCCAAATACCTCAGGCGGATCGTAAGGCAATTCTAATATGGGACTATTATCTGAATCCAAGATTGCTTGACTTTCGGGATTTCTAGCACTCTTGTCAGATGAGAAAAATTCGAAGGAAAACTTCTAATCACAGATGTACTATACGAATAATATTTTACCTTTTTACTTGACAATTCAATTCCTTCAGTCTCATTTTCTCGCTTTTGGGGAGTTTGTAATTTAACACCTTCGGTTAATACTTTCTGTGCATATGCATAATGAGTAAGCTGTTCGCAGAAAAAAGTGTTAAAATAGGCGAGTACAGCCAGATACTTTATAAACGTTCCACTCTGATATCTTACTGTTTTTCTGCATATGTTGAGGTGTCCTAATGAGGCAGTTTGAATAGCAGTTTCTTCTTCTTTTAACTTTTCACATCTAGAGTCTTTTTTTCCATCTTAGATGAGAAGAAGACAAGTATTAAGATCACTCATTGCAATGAGTGCAATATATTGTGACTGGCTAAACTTTATCTGAACCAGAAGATCATCACAAGAACAACCAGAAGATGCTCTTGCTGGATAAAGTCTGAACCAGAAGATCATCATAAGAGCAACCAGAAGATGCTCCTACTTGGTGAAAGCCTTACTGAACATTACTCAAACCAGAAAATCATCACAAGAGCAACCAGAAGATGCACTTGCTTGAGTAATCCCAGATGTCACATCAAGAAAAAAAAAATACTTACTTCAAACGCATCCAAGGCGATCTTTGCATTCTTTCTGAGCTTACAGTCATTCTTGAAATTAAATAGTTTAACTAAGTAGCCATCATATTTGAGTTGAATGTCTTTTGTAAAGGAGGCTTGCTCCTTTCGCTGGAGCAGATACTCATAAAGGTAGTTTTTACAGCCACTTCTGAGTATATATTTAACAACCTGCGCTCTTTCTTGCTTCGCGTCCATATTTTTTTTGGTAGAAAAAAAAAAATAAATATTAGATCAGCCGGGGTGAACGATAATTTTTAACGAATTTTATTGGATGAAAATTGATTTGTGTAATACAGTTTTTCATATACATTTAGTGATGGGACTTAAAATTAATAATTACTTATTAAGTTAAAAATCGAATTATTAATGCTAAAAATTCTGATTGGTCAAATTTAAATAAAATCACGTGATAACGTTTTTTCCGATGAACCATATCCAACGAATAAAATCGACATTTTACATTATAATCAATATATTTTTTGTCCTGGTTAGAAACTACCTTTTTATTAATTAGTTCTGTAAAAAACGGAGATCTCCGATTGGTTTTAAAAATATCCGGTAAATTTTTTCAAAGCCGGATATTTTTCCGGATAGAAAAATTCAACAATTATAACTTCGCAATAAATTGATCCAATTTTATAATCTCTAAACGATAAATTTTATCAAAAAAAAAAAAAATCTTTAGCAATTTGGAATTCATAAAGTAAACGAAGAATTTAATGTTTTAAATTGAATAAAAAAAATTTCTGTTTTTTTTTGATGATCCGGTAAATTTATTTGAAATCGGGAAAATTTTAAAAGGATCCGGTAAAATTTTATGTAACCGGATATTTGTCCGGAAATTTTGCTATCCTATTTTATGCCCGTGTAAAAAAAAAAAAATTTTTTCTGGGCTACCCCAGTGCAATATATAAAGTTTTTTTATTATAGTCAGATGTTCAGAATGCAAATTTAGGAAGTCAGAAGCCAAAAATGGCATACGGACTATAGTAAAAAGTGCTGCGTACAGACATTAGTTCATTGCCTAAAAATATCGATTGTTTTGTTAGTAGGATAGTAGTGGGGAATAACCTGCTATAGCAGATTTTTTGTTAGAATGGTGCGCCTATTCCTTCAGCAAGAATTTTCCCATATATCGTTTTTCGCATTTAGATGCCTCATCGAAAAAAGATATATATTTTACATCAGATAGAAGCAAAAAATATGTTTGATTTATCATCCGAAATCTATGATTGAGGGGGGCGAATTGTTTTTGTGGACCAATTCCAAAGGGATCACCTGAAGAATTAGAGGTGCGCATAGAAAAATTCAGTCGCTAGCGCGTTACAACTTACAATTCGCAATGATAACAAACGTATGCATTTTTTAGCTTGACAAAAACTAATCACATGAAATTTATTGATTGAAATAAGCGCAGTGAATTACGGTTTAATAACATATAGTTCTTTTTTTTTTCTCCCATAGTTATTATTAAGAAAATTAAGAAAATAAATGATATTTTCTCTATCATTTTTGATCACGAATTCCTAGTCCTTATCCAGCGTTCTATTTACTGCAATACATTAAAAATTTTAAAAATAACAAGCAAAAAAATAATTACAAGTTTCAATAATGATATGTGCATGATGTTTCTATGCCAGTGATTCTATTCTAATTCTCTAATTTGTAATCACATGAATCGAAGCAAAATGCGAGAAATCATGTGAAGGCCTTTTCGGAAATAAAAATTCTTCATTGCTATCTTCGTTTTTGCATACACTCGTTCTTTGCTAATTTGATTCATGACGCAGATTTGCCCAAGAGAAACTGTATGAATATTCTTGACTTTATTATAGATAGAAGGATTAGCCATAGCAGATCTGTATGCTCTTCCAGCAAATGGTCCAAAATAGTTTGTAAAGGCTTTTTTATCTACAATCCCAGACCGTTTTGGAATTTTAATATTACAGTTTGCAGTTGTAAAGAGGATGAAAAAATCATTTTCCGATGCAGATTTTTCACGCTCTTCATGGTATTCCTTTTGACTGACTGCTTTTTTTCGCAATTTGAATTGGTGGATTTCGTTTGGACTCTCAGTACCTGGCTGATCTAATGAAAGGAAGGAATCACCATATGGTGAAGCTGGGGCATTAATGATACAATGTTTGAATTTCCGGACATCAACGGTAGAATTATAGCATTCAACATTCCATTCGTTTGCAGTGTGATTTTTAGAATTTGTGTCTGTATGGTGTTTTGCAATCTCAAGTTGTAGATTGTGGTTTTTAAATTGGATATCGCCATTCAAACGTGCTCCTGCGTGAACCTCTGAGATATTTATTAGCTCATCTTCTTCAATTACAGTTGACTTGATACAACGAAATGACGCGACAAATTTTTCAAAACTCTGCCATGACTTTGCTTGCAATGATGTTACTGGATTCAAAAATGCTCTTTGCTCCCCATAATCAGCGAATTCCCAATCTCGAAGTAATGGATCTCCTTCTTCGTTAGATATCTCCATAAATATCCAGAGCCAAATGTACGGTGCAGTGAGATACCCCCTTCGACTACTACTACTTGACTGTTCGAATCGAATCAATCCACCTCCAACAAATTCATCTGGTGTTTTGTCAGTTTTTGGAATAGGTTTATATTTATTTAAGAGACGTTTAGTAAATATCGCTCGTGCAATTGGCCTAGCATCTTCAACAGTACTAAAAATAGCATTACGGTATTTTTCAGTAAGGTCATGGCGCAGATCGTTCATCAAAGTATCGACATTACATTCTTCAATGCTACGACCGGCCAAGCAATCATCCAGAGCTTCTAGAGCTCTTCCATGCCCTCCGCAATCTTCTACAAGAGTATTAGTAATCTCATCATTTTTAAAAACCGGGACCAAGATATCTCCTTGTCGATAGTTTGGTGGCTGTAGAGAAGCAACTGGTAAGTATATACGTTTCCGCGGGGAATATCTCAACATTCCATCAATCGGCCCAGTGATGGTTGAGGTACAAACGGGTATCACGAAAGTGCTACTAAACGCAAGATCTGCAACAGATGTCAGAGTTTTGTAAAAAGTTGAATTTAACTTTAAACCATCATCTTTGTTCTCCATAAGCTGTTGCATGCCGTCAACAACCAAAATTACTGTAGCGTTTTTCAAGTCTCGGTTGTGGTGTTTGGCAATCAATGACACAACATCTAATGGATCTGGTGGATTGAATGTCTTGATAATTTCATGAAGCATCATTTTCCCTCTAAGAAGTTGAAATAGCATACGAGTACCAATGGCAAAAAAAGGGTGGGATTCTTCTGTCCGTAAGGCAAGGCCATTCTCATAGCTGACAAGGAATACCCAAGCTTCTTTAATCCTAGTCAACAGCTCCTCATCTTCTTGAGCTGACAAACATGTGATTGCCATCCGGTGGAATTCATTAGCGTTTCGAGATTTTCCGGTACCAGCTCCAGAAAGGAAGAGATATAGCGGAAGATTCAATTTGTCAAAACGCCCTAAAATAAAATTTTCATAATGCTTTTTAAGCTCTCTTCGCAAGATCTGCTTCAAAGATGGGTCAGGTTGATATTCCCAATTAGCACCAGAAGTGTAAAGCAAAGGTTCCGGTTTCATATATGGCAAGCCTAGTATATGATAGTATGTCCGATCAGCTTCCGTATAAGAATGGCGAGTTTTTTTTTACGGAAATTACTTAATACATACCTCCAGGAAAGGCATCAGTGATATTTTTCCTAACTTCTGTTTTTAAGGTTTTTTTTGAGGATAAGGAGTAAAAAAAGCACAAGATTATGTATTCGATATTACATAATAAAGACGAAAAAAAATGGCTAACGAAAAATCAAGCAAGGGCACATTCACTCGTGTTGTCTAAATTTATTACGATTCACTTACCAGCAACGAGTTTCTCTAACGATAAGAAGCAGGAAAGAAAAGCACAAGAATAAGTAGTCGGTATTATTGGCAAATATGACACGGTGTAGACGAAAAAAAAACACTACATCACGTTGACTATTTTTTTATACTCGCTTACCTCCATTAATTTGTTTAACCACATCTGCGATTGCTGAAGCCGGTCCAAATAGCAGTTTGAACGGGCCAAGGTCACGAGTGAGCTGTTCTTCTTTCAAACGAAGGAAGGCTTTACCGGTGACATTCTGGCCATATATTACATTGATATCATTTTCTTCAAGCTCTAAATCACTTCTATTTCTTTGCAAAAAGTCTTTAACGTTATCATATAAAATTTTTTTTGTTTATGTGTCACGATTTTATAGAAAATGGTCTATTTACTAAATTACTTGGTAACGGAAACCGTTGAAGCGTCCGAAGCTTGATATTTGATCAACCGTAGTACAATACTTATGCATAAAGCATGTCTAACCGTTTATGTCCTTCACGACCACTCGAATTCAAATCTCTATAAAAGTTTTGCTAGGAATCTAGTAGGACTGCAACCTATTGCAAGAAGCTTATATAAAACTTCACAGAATGACGCGCCTAAAGTGCAAGCTCGCTCCTACCTCTTCAATTTGAGTCTTCTTTCCTTTCAGACTATCATTTTAAATAAATTCATATTATAAAAAAAAATTAAAATATTTTAGTATTTTTACTAAGTAAAAGAAAGAGGAGGAACATGATCAAATTATTTTTTTTAT